CTCGCGCGAGTAGGCCGCGCGCGCGTGCCGAACTCCATCCAAAGCCTTCATCGCCGACGCGATGACATCGTCATCGTTGTCGGCGGGCGTGATCAACGGCGGCGCGGCGCCGTCGTTGGCCTTGCCGTTGGCGCCGCCGCCGTCGCCGCCATCGCCGCCATCGTCGCTAGTCCCATCATCGCGCCCACTATTGTCGGCGTCGCCGTGGCGCCGCGCCCGCCCAGGTCACCGACTCGCGCTGGAGTGCCCGCTGGGGGGAGCTCGACGGTCAGCGCCACGGCGGCCGCGTCGATCGCGCCGCCCTAGCTGGCCGCTGCGCGCGCGAGCATGCGCGGGCTAGCGCGGCCGCAGAGATGCACCAGCCAACGCCAAACACTCATCGCAATCGCCGTCGCGTGGGCATTGCGAGCCAAGTTGCGGGCGGGTGGGCGGCGCGATGTCGCGAACGGTGGAGTTGGCAACTCACTGCGGGCATTTCTGTGAATATTCCTTTCTTGATAGGAAATAATCTCTCTCCCCCTCCGGGATGATCCGTCCCCCTTTTCGTAGTGCAAGTCGCGTATGATTCTGCCCCGCCGCCCATTCTAAATATGAGCTCATGCCATCCCAGCCGAGCTGGTTTCCTCCCCTCCGCCATCCTCAGCAAAACATATTAGGCGCGCGAGCTCGTTTATAAAACAACCATCAACATTCGAGAACCCCTTGCGTAAAACAACAAATGCGACGAACTGCGCGCGCGCGTTGTCGCGCGCAAATGCTGGAACCCTTCGGAACAACTTTCGTTGTCGTAAAAAAATTCAAAACCGAGTGTCCAAGATTATTTTTTGAAAGAAAAATGCACGTGCCCCCCCCTACCCCCGTGGCGGCGAACGGGGGAAGGAGGGCGGCTCGTTTTGTTGAGCAACAAAGGGCTGCGGGATTTCGGGTCGTCGCCCACGCAGTCAGATTATACTTTGACATAATCGCCTTGGGGGCAAGGGGGCGGCTCGGCCTCCAACCGACGCGCGCGAGCAAAGTGCCATCTTTGCGGCCCCTTCCGCGGGCCTTCCGCGGGCCCCCCCGCGGGCCCTCAGCCCGCGCGCGGGTTTAACTGCTGTAGGCAGGCGCGGGACTAACCGCAGCCTTGTCGTTAGCTCAGCCTCGGCTGTCGTAGCTTCCTGCGACCGTCCGTCTAGCTCTCTGGGTGGATCAGCTTCGAGCCATCGGGGCGATCTCGGCACTCGCTCTTGAACGTCTCAGTCCACTCCTGTGCGGCCTCAGGACTGCTCAAGTCCTGTCGGTTGATCCTGATCAGGGGTCCGCGCATCGTAGCCGTCACTCTCAGCTGCTCGATCTCCTTGGCCTGGCGATCCGACAAGACGTTGCCCTTCTTGGTCAGCCTCATGATCAAGTCGTCTTTGTGACCACTCACGTGTAGGCCTTCGACCACGAGAAACGCGTTGAAAAGCTTGTGCATCGCTCCTTCGTCGCATCGTGCTGGGCGGGGCTCTGGGCCAAGTCCTTGTGCACTTATGGTCTTGACCTCCACGTCGGCCCGCGTAGCCGGGTAGTCGTCGGCGTCTCCAAGAGCTGGGTCAACCGCCTCCCGGATGAGGTCCTCCTTGAGGCAGCTCCTCGCGCAGCAACCGCGCGCGCTGCCTCGGGCAAAAACTGCAGCGATCAGCACGAAGACACCCGTCTTCAGGATTAACCAGAACTCCTCGCGATCCACGTAGTGGGGCACAGGTGCGTGGCAAACAGCTGCCTGGCCTGGCTCCTCGTTCACCGTCACCTTCTCGCCTGGCGCAGAAGTCGCGACTCCCGTGGAAAGTGCCATCGCGCTCAAGCCCGTGAGCTGTTTCCCGAACATGAGGTTCAGAATGGTGCAATGCTTCTCTATCGTCGACCACTCGCTGTACTTGGTGAGCATGTCTGCCGTCATCTCATTGGTGTCCTCCTGCGGGAGCTCAAGCGCCTTCAGTCGCAGCCGCTCTTGAATCCATGAGCACCTCAGTTCCAGGTGCCTGACCTTGCCCACGCCCGCTCTGCTGCACATGCCCCGCCCCGCGGTGCTGTCGCTGTAGATCTACAGGTTGCAGGGCCTCTGGGTCTCGACCAGGTAGGTCTTGCACTGGAGTCCCCTGGCAGTCGCACTGCCTGTCGCATGCATCTCGGTTTCCCCTGAGCTTCGAGCAATGGTGCTCTGCGTCGCGTAGCAGTCCCATGTGTGGTCACCATGCCGCACTGCTCCTCCGCTCGTGGATCGTCTTTGCAGTTCGCTTGCAGGGGCCCGGTCTGCATCTCCGTCCACGCGTGTGCAAAGGGTAACACCATACCAACACAAGCTGTCCTTCATAATACCGTCCAAGACGCTGAACTCGCGCATGCATCAGAACGTTCGGGTTTGAGACGCGCTGCGTCGCTGTCTTGCTGGCATGCATCGTGTCGGGCCTGTCCGAAGAGAGGTAGAGTGCTGTGCCTGCTCCACCTGTAACTTCCCGAGCTCGATCCTTGGACAGAAAGTCTAAGCTGTCTCTTCGTCCTTGTCCTGTAGATTTCGCCCCTGGAGTAGGAGCTGGCTTGCGCCCTCGTTTCTGTGTCCACTGAATCATGAAATCCACGTGCTTAGGATCCGCTGTCCAGAAGAAGCCGGGATCCCCTGAGCCCGGCAGCATGTCGGTGTACCCGATGATCCTCTTGAGGTAGTGCGTCCGCGCAGGTCTTGCAGGACCCAGTCTGGCACTCGCTGTGACTGCGTACTGCTGCTTCGGCAACTCGTCCAGCTCGTCCAGCTGCTCGTCGTAGCCTTCGGCCAGAAAGTCATCTCCGTGGCAGATCGCTGTGCTGTCCTCGTCGACGGCAGGGATGTTGGGACACGCTGGTAAGTGGAACACGTTGGGTGTCGCCGCCAAGCATTCTCAATGGCTGTCGTCCGTGGTAGTCCGCGCCAGCGCTGCCCACATCTGCGATGCCTTCCTGGTGCAATTCATGGCCTTCCGCAGCCGCCAGCACCTTCCAGGAGGGCACAGCTCGCGTCCAGAATGAACGTGGATCGTCTCATCAAGGTCGGCGTTGAAGAAAGCCTTCCTGACGTCCCAAACCTGGATCATCCGTTTGTGCTCCCCCGTCGAAGTCGGGCTCGACGCGGCGCGGCTTAGCGTCGCCCTTACAATCATGAGCGGCGGCGTGCCTTGGTGGTTGTCCTCGCGCACCTTGTGCTTGTTGATCTCCGTCGCCACGAACCTCCACCTGACCTGGCCTTCCTTCATATGGGCTATGGGGAGGCCTCCGATATGCTTGCCGTTAGTCGCCGTCGACATCGCAACCTCCACGTAGACTCCATAATCTTTCATGGCCTGGAGCTTGTCATCGCGACCCATCTGGTAAATATCCTCGTCCAAGGGTTCTCTAGTGTCTTGCGCGCGCGAAGCCCGTCTGGTAGCATGTTTTGAACATCTTGACAAACCTGTGATTTTCTCTAGATTTCGCAGGAGCGCGCGCGTAAGCTTTTTAGAAGATCAGTGTTGCGAAACCCTGTGTTTTAGAATGTTTGTTTGGACACTCGATTTTGAAATCCGTCCGAAACCGAAGGTGCTTGAAGGATTTCGGCATGTGCGCGCGACGACGCGCGCGTGTGCACTTCGTCTAATTTTTTGAAAGGGATTGCTGAAAACGTATGATCTTTGAAAAACGAATGCGCGCGCATAATTTTTTTGCAGAGGATGGCAGAGGGAACCGATACCGGCCTGACTGGGATAGGATGAACTCACAGGTAGGATGGACATTTGGGTCAGAATCCGATGTGTTTTACATCGGTTCCCAGGGGGTGTTGAAGTCCGGGGGGGGGGAGGGTGGTAGAACCTCTTCTCTGTTTAGACGGGGGAATCTAAGCGGCCACGGGGCGGGGACGAGACGGCGGCGGCGAGCACGGAACCGCCAGACCGAAACCCAGGCCCAAGCGACAGCCGGCGACGGGGCGGCGACGGCCCAGACCGACACCCCGGCCCAGACGACCGGCGGCGAGGAGGCGGCTACCGGGCGGCGACGGCGATCACGGGGCCGCCAGACCGACACCCAGGCAAGCACTGCTTGGGGACTGTTGCACAACATAGATCCCGCTTTGTGTACTTGGCACCACGCAGATTGCACCACACATATTGCGCATAGAGTGCACCACGTATCTAGCACCACATTTGCTGCTACACATGAATTGGATACGATACATTGCTAGAAACAAGCTGTTTGGGGTTCACGCTGGCTGACATATGCGTATATGTCACATCTTTCTTTCTGTTTTGTTCCTCTCTCCCTCTCTCTCCCGCACAGACGCATACCCTCACCATGCCGCCTCGCCCCTCCAGGAGACTAACGTGACCACCGCGCACATCTCTTCGACATCTCCGGCCAGATCCTGAGGGTGGCTTCGGTGACCATCCCTCCCCCCCAAACCAGCGCTCGACCACCGAACCTACCCCCAGACTCGGACCAGCGATGGGACGCGCGTTCGGCGATGTTTTTGCATGGAAAGCCCCCCCCCCCGCAGCCCCGACAAACGGGTCTCGCCATGGCCATCGCGGTCGTCCAAGGATGGCCAAGCAGAAGACCATGATCGATGACCGCTTGAAACTAACGCCGAGACGACAGAGAAGCGATCCGAAGATGGAAAACTGAACACACCGAGACGGTCGGACCCACCACGTCAATGGCGACACAACCAACCCACTCGATCGCAACGATCTACCGAATCGACCGATCGAACTGGTTAACCTTCGGGTTGCGCACAGACAGCCCCTCCAAATGGTCCTGGCTGGCCTCGACAAGCCCCCCGAGTAGTCCCGGCTGGCCTCAACAGACCCCCCGAGAAGCCTGGGGCGATCTCAACACCCCAGCCCTGAGGCGCCGCTGGAGGCGGGCCAGGGTGTTGAGAGCCGATCAGAAGGGGTCGAGCCGATCGGATCGACGGCGAAGAGGTCAATGCGTCGAGCTTCGGTCGGCCTTGCCAGAGCAAGGGCGTCGCTCTCCTGGCATCCAGCACCAGCGCACCGTCTGTCCTGCGCGGGCCGGCGAGGAGTAGGGTAGGGCGACGACATATATATATATATATATATATATATATATAGGGACATACTACAATGGGAAATGCGGAAACGCAAAAACCAGTAAGGAATTCCTTTAGGTATTCGACGATGCTGGGCCCTTGGGATCGTTCTTGCGTGGTGACGGGGGCCTTAATTGTGGTCTGTTGTGCAAAAATACACAGGGGGCGAACTTGTCAAACAAAAACTAATTGTGGGAATATTTTTTTCAAATTGCCGTGCCTGGGCTGTCGGTCAGAAGTCTCCAAGATGTATGCCAAGGTCTGTTGGGATGCCTCTCGGGGCCTCCTTGGCGGCGTCTTGGGAGATTGTCCGGGGACTATTAGGGGGTTCTTGGTGCCTCCTGGGAGCCTCCCGGGAGTATCTGAAGGCATCTGAGGGGTGCCTCGAGAGCCTTTGGGAGAACCTTCGGGCCATCTTAGGGCAGAGCGCTCGAAAGGCTTGGGGAGGTCTCCTCTTGTGGCTCCCTCCTGGCGCGCGCGCGCTCAAGTTCTAGCTATGCTAGACATGTTATCTCATGGGATCTCGACGTCTGGCCGCCTTTTCCCAAGAGAGCACGAAGACGGTCTAAGATAGTTCCAAGACAGCGTCAGAGAGTCCAACACGATTCTGGACAAATCTTCGACTTGTGACCCCAAAATCTTCATGGGGCTCGGGGTCAAGTTCAACAACAGGAATCTCTGGAATTCCTTTTTTTTCAAGTCGTGCATCCTACCATGTAGTGCGCAGGCATCGGGAGGCCTAAGAGGCCTGCAGGGGGTTCCTGGGGGCAGTTTTGATGCCTCTCTGGTGCTGTGTTTGGGGCCTCGTGGATTTTCTTGGGCCCCTCAGGGGTCTGGGGTTTGTTGGGGATCCTGGAGGCCTTTCGGGGGCCTCTTGGGGCCTCCTGCTCCCCATCTTGGGCCTGTCCTGGGGCGCTCTTGGCCCGTCTTGGGCGCCTCGTGGGCAGTCTTGAAACTCTCTTGGGCCGTCTCGGGCTCTCTTGGGGGCCTCTTCGGCCGTCTTGGGGCGGTCTTGGGGGCCTCTTCGGCTGTCTTGGAGCGCTGGAAGTTTGAAAACGCGAGAAGGCCAAACACCTCGAGCACCGAAACGACAATGTAACGATGTTACCCTCTTCGGGTTCTCTCGGGACGGCACTCGGAGCTCTCTGGGGCTGTTTTTGGAGCCTCGGGGGATTTGTTTTGGGGCCTCTCAAGAATCTGGGGATTGTTGGGGGCCTTTAGGGGGTCCGGGAAGCTTCTCGGGGGCCTCCTGGGGCCTCCTGCTCCCGCCCTCGGGCCTATTTTGAGCGTCCTGGGGCGCTCTTGGCCCGTCTTGGGCGCCTCGTGGGCAGTCTTGAAACTCTCTGGGGCCGTCTCGGGCTCTCTTGGGGGCCTCTTCGGCCGTCTTGGGGCGGTCTTGGGGGCCTCTTCGGCTGTCTTGAAGCGCTGGAAGTTTGAAAACGCGAGACAGCCAAACACCTCGAACACAGAAATGACAATGTAACGATGTTACCCTCTTCGGGTTCTCTCGGGACGTCACTCGGAGCTCTCTTGGGCTAGTTTTGGGGCCTCGTGGGCCTTTTTGGGTGACTCTTCATGGGTCTGGGGCTTGATGGGGGGCCTCTGGGGGGTCCTGGAGGCTTCTCGGGGGCCTCTTGGGGCCTCCTGCTCCCGCCCTCGGGCCCATTGAGCGGTCCTGGGGCCCTCTTAGGCCGTCTTGGGCGCCTCTTGGGCTTTGAGACTCTCTGGGGCCGTCTCGGGCTCTCTTGGGGGGGTCCCTTCGGCCGTCTTGGGACGGTCTTGGGTCTTGGGAGCCTCCTCGGCTGTCTTGGAGCGTTGGACGTTTGAAAACGCGAGAAGGCCAAACACCTCGAACACAGAAATGACAATGTAACGATGTTACCCTCTTCGGGCTCCCCCGGGACGGCACTCGGAGCTCTCTGGGGCTGTTTTTGGAGCCTCGGGGGTTTTGTTCTGGGGCCTCTCAAGAATCTGGGGATTGTTGGGGGCCTTTATGGGGGTCCTGGAGGCTTCTCGGGGGCCTCTTGGGGCCTCCTGCTCCCGCCCTCGGGCCTATTTTGAGCGTCCTGGGGCGCTCTTGGCCCGTCTTGGGCGCCTCTTGGGCAGTCTTGAGGCTCTCTGGGACCGTCTCGGGCTCTCTTGGGTGCCTCTTCTGCTGTCTTGGGGGGGTCTTGGGAGCCTCTTCGGCTGTCTTGGAGCGTTGGAAGCTCGAAAACGCCAGAAGGCCAAAAACTGCAGGAAACAAATGAAAATCAACGATTATTTATTCTTCTCAATTCGACTGGGCGATGAATCACTGGAGAAAGTCCGAGATCTGCGTGCAGAAAGCAACGCTGACGGGTCAAATGTAACGGCGATGGCTCCAACCACACAAGCTCGCTCTTGAGCGCTACTGCTGCGTTGCAGAGCACGCACACGGCCCGGTTATGCATATGCGAAAACGTCAGCCGTCTGCACACAAAATAATGACTCTAGACTGCTCCAAGCATCACGTGATCATCACGTGGGGCACAGATCGTGAGCAAAGTTATGGCACTTGTCAGGTTGCAAATTAAACAAGGCGCTGGCCGAAAGGGGGAGCGTCTGCGCGAGGGCTTCCCGTGCGACCTCCGGAAGCTTGTGTTCATGCAAGCGTTTGTGCTTCGCCCTCGCCCCCCTCCCGCCCTCCCCTCACGACTTGGTCGTTGCATGCGCCGATGGCCCATAAAAAGGGCAGTGTTGAAAGCAGCTCTGGCACGTGCGAAAACACACGGGACACGCGAGTGCCAGGAGCACGTGAGATCTGAGTGGGTTGAAAATTTGTCCCATCCTGACTCAGTGCTTGAATGGCGCTTGGGTTTGCCATCATGAAGGCACTTGCGCCATGTAGGCAGGGTATTTGCAACTGGAGTACGTGTGTAGTATGTTGCCATGTGACGGCAACGCGTTTGCGCTCGCCGACAGATAAAACATGGCCACGGCGCTACGACCGCGAGCGGCCGCGGGGAACCATGGTACGTGATTGGGCGCGCCGTTGACCTCCTCGTCCTCCCCCTCCTCCCTTTCCTGATCCAGCCTTCTTTCTCTATCTCTCACCCTCTCTCTTCCCTTCTTCCTCATGCCTGTTCCTTCCATCCCTCCCTGACCCCTCCCGCCTCCTTCTCCTCCTCCTCCTTCTCCTCCTCCCTGTCGTCCTCCGTACCTCCCTCTTCCCTTCCTCAGTATGTTTTCGCGCGCTCCTGCATTGGTTGTTTATTCTTGAACGGGGTGTTTGATGATGCTGTCTATCGCGTGAGGATGTCTCAAGAGAAATTGTAACAACAAAAAAAACTCCAATATCCCCCAACGCCCCTTAAGCCCAGATATCTAAAGGAACCCCAAGAACCCCAACAGTTCCAAGAGCCTCAAGAACCCCAAGAGCCCTGAGAGCCCTCAGAGCTCCAATAACCCAAAGAGGCCCAAGGAATCCAAGAGCCACCAAAGCCCCAGGAACCCCTAGAACATCCCAGGAACCCAATCAAAATACCCAATACCCCCAAGAGCATACCAAGTGGTGAGTTTAGGCATGGCGGAAGCCATTTGACTATACATGTGTATATACATATGTGCACAACACGTTCGGCAGTTGTCCTGCATGCGGAGCAACGAACAAGAAGTGTGATCACATCACTGCCCGACTTGGCCCACGCAAAGTTATCGCCGATAGTTTCGGTATCAATCAACGTGTCATTCGGAGAATGCTACCATACTGCTACCCCGTTCACTCGGTCGACTGATTTCAACGGAAAACAGGCCCACAATTGACATGGGCGCGCTCCTCGCGCACAATTGCCAAGCGTATGTTGCCAACATCTCGTCGCCTTCTTGCGCCCGGGCTACATCGCGAACGCAACAACGCACCCGAAGGGAAAACCGAGATGAGACCGAGAACGTGCAATCATTCGGAGCCAAATCCGCCGACCCCTTGTGGGTCCCTAGGCGTGTGAGATAGTTCCCCCCCCTACAGTCCCCCCCCAGGGACCCCAAACTGGCGATTTGACCCCCCCCCCATGGCCCCGCCCGAGCGACTCACGGGGCTTCTTTGGGCTCAAAAGTCTCTCAAGGCGGCCCAAGAAGGCCCCCAGACTCCTCGAAGACGGCCCACGAGGGCCCCGAGACGCCAAACGAACGCTCCAAGGCGCCCAGGATGGCCCCAAGACGGGCCAAGAGGCCTCCAAGACGGCCCATGAGGCCTCCAAGAGCAGTTCTCAGAAGGGCCGAAGAGCCGAAAATCTTCAAATTCCTATGGAAAACGTACATTTTGATCATATACGGCTTCTCGGCCTTCACGGCGTTGAACACGGTCCAAGAGCACCCCAAGACCGCCCCAAGACGGCCCAAGAGGCCCCCAACACGCGCCCAAGTCCGCCCAAGAGGGCGCCAAGACAGCCCAAGAGGCCCCCAGGACGGCCCAAGAGAGCCCCAAGACGGCCCCAAGAGGGGCCCAAGAGAGGGAGCCCGAACTGACATCCCGAGCCTTCCGCCCCGAGACGGCCCTAAAAGGCCCCGAGAGGCCCCAAGAGGCCCCCAAGACGCCCCCAAGAGGCCCCAAGAGGCCCCCCAAGAGGCCCCAGAACGGCCCCAAAACGGCCCCCAAGAGGCTTCGAAACTGCCTCCAAGAGTCCCGCGAGAAGCACCACCAGAGATCCCAGCGATCATCGCACAAGCGGGATTCGCGCTCCCGAGGCGAAGAATTCCAAAACCATGACCCAGAACATTTCCTCCGCGTCCCCCTCCTCCTCCCCCTCACCCGCCTTGTCCACGTCGGCCCCCCAGTGGCGTCAAAACTGCTTTCCAGAGGCCCCCGAAAGGAGTGCCGCGAAATTCCGATACACATACAAGAACCTCTCACCCAAAGACCATAACCCAGAGCCTCCTCTCAGTGTCCCCCTCATCCTCCTCCTCAACCACCCTCTCCTCGTCCCCCTCCTCCTC